CATCTGGACCATAGAAACAACAGCTGGACTATAGAAACCACACCTGAACCATCAAAACTACACCTGACTATAGAAACAACATCTGGATTATAGGAACCACACCTGGACCATAGAAACCACACCTGGACAATAAAGACTAACCCTGGACCATAGAAACTACACCTGGACCATAAAGGCTAACCCTGGACTATAGGAACTATGGAAGCTGAAGTCTTCGTTATGAACAGGAAAGTGTTTTAATAATCAGGCGACCAATCAGAGCAGAGGAAGTTACTTCTAGGTACTATTAGTTCCATTACAGTAYCATCTTCCACGAGTTGATTAATAAAGACTTTAACCAACAGCTTGAAGCTAAACTCACTCCTCTACACAAACAGGAAGTGGGTCTACAGAGGTGGTCTACAGGTGTTTACCTCTGGACATCTGCTTGCACCTGTGCAGGATTTTTCCTACAGTGTAAAGAACTGAGCGCATGTCAGAGAGAAGAGAAGCAAACCTGTGGTTAGAGTCACCRTGCTGCCCTCTGAAGGGTTACAAAGGAACAAAGAAAACCCACAGACTGGAAGGTTACTGTAAAATGGAATGGGACGGGATAATCCCAGGGATTAATCCTGGACTTTTTATTCTRAAGGATTTAGAGAAGAAAAGCTTTTTAAACTTTCAGCGTGAAGGAGAATGTTTCTGACAACCTTTGATTTAAAACTTCTTCAAACTACTTAGACTTTTCCTGTTTGAATATTGTTTTTAAGTTCTTAAACCTATAAATTATTTTTTTTAACTTTGAATTTTCTCTTGAAATGAGCTGAAATCCTCTCAGGTTCTGAAGAGAAGACGCCTGAAAGGTTAGTTTAATCAAAACATCAAATCAAATCTGATTTTTGAACAAAATGCATCAAAGATTTAACAATGTCTGAGGGTGTCTCTGAATTTAGAGTCTTAAGATGATTTGGAATAAAAATCTGTGAAATTTGTAAAAAAGGTTATTGTGTTAAACTGTGTTAGTGTGTTAAACTGTGTTATTGTGTTAAACTGTGTTAGTGTGTTAAATGCATCATATCTGTGTGTTTGTATATTAATGTAACACTGAAATATTTCCAGTTGTTCTGTTTGAAGTCAGGTCTGACTCGGTCCTGCTCCGTACCTGTCACCTGGGGGATGTAGGGGATGGGGAGGCGCTCTGCGTTGTATCCTGGTCCCACCAGACACTCGGCCATTTCTGCTGTCTGGAAAAACAGCTGCTTGTCGTCTTTGTCCAAAGATTCAGGGAGTCTGAGAACATTTCAACACAGGAGTGATTAAATGCATTCTTTCTTCATKGTTTTAATTTTAGTGATATTAATATTAATATTCAGAAAATGGTCCTGCTAATGTTTAAAGTGGAGGTGATCCAAATTAATATCAAGCTTCTTCACGTTCAAACTGGAGGCCAAGTTAATGCCATCCACTGGAAATTAGACGCTCAGGTCCAAAACCCACAACCTGTCTGACTTTAAAAACAGGCTCATGTCTCTGAAACAAGCTTCTTAGCTAACTAACTGATTGRATTAATCAGGTTCAAGAGATAAGTATAACAGGGTATCATCAGCGTAACGATTTATCCTGTATATAATGCAAAAAGTACTGGTCCAAGTACTGAACCCTGAGGATCTCCATGAATATTCAATTAACATGAACATCTTGAACTAGTCTGTCAGATTCAGAGATTAACTGAAATCCACATACGGACACTTGTCTCTGAAGATATGTTCTGGCAGCAGGTAYGGGGCGTCCATGTTCCTCAACTCGATTACCTGAGCAAAGAACACCAAAATAAAAGCTTTACTGCGACGTAATGAAACGACCTTCAGAACCAAACAGAGAAATAAAAACGGTGCATCGTCAGCGTAAAGGAGAAATATTTCATGAGTAAATAAATTAAAGTTCGCCCCTCAGCGAGGTCTGACTCACTTTGCTGACGTGCTGACACAGAGGCGGGTTGGCGATCATCTGACTCAGGAAGTTGAGGTACGCCGCCACCAGCGCCATAATACTGCAACGATTGAACATGGGCAGGTTCTCCTCATTGATCAGAGCCATTTCCTGTTAAAAACAGACAGAAGTCTCGTTCAGAGTTTCAGCACGCTGGGCTTCGGTGGCATTAATTTAGACACCCCAGCTAGTAAACCAGCTGATGATYGCTCCCGTTTCTAAAATACACAGAGGACACGCCCCCTGCAGAGACATCCAGCTGCTTTTAATCCCCACAGAGGAAGATTTTCTCTGGAGCCTTAAAGGTTGCAGGTAGGACTTTCTGCCTTTTGACTGTATCCTCAACCTGTCAGCATAAAGGTTGTTGCTGCAGTAACGACCTCAGGGTGACGACTCGTCAWGGAGAAATGAAGAACTGCAGATCCAGGTGAGACCTCATCCATTCATTTAGTTTAAAAACAGATTTAGAAAGTAGGAATAAGGTTCAGAGATGGACCTGTTAGACGGCCGCTGTAGTCCTAAACCTTGATCCATCTGGATCAGTTCCAGCTCACCTGGACGGTCGGGTCTTTAAAGGCTGGAACCGTGAAGCGTTTACCTGCAGAGCGATGGCGAGGCGGATCAGGTCGATGACCACCTCCTCGTTGGCGAGCTCGATGGTCAGGATGGCGAGCGTGGTGAAGAGCAGCTCATAGTTTTTGTGAACGTTGTCTTCCTCTTTGCAGCCCAGGTAGACGTGGCGGTAGAGCTGCTGCCCGTGCTGGAGGAGGAGGAGGAGGAAGAGGAGGAGGAGGAGGAGGAGAAGAAGAACTCTTGATAAAAACTCTCTGAAAACCTGTTTACTGTTAAACATCCCGACTGAAAGACATGATTTACAGGARGTCATAAAACTACTGAAAACCTTTTAACAGAAGAAAATTAAAACAATCACAAAATAATTTCTAATAATTTAACAAAACCTGTTCTGAACTTTAGAAAATGATTTTCTGAATTTAGCTTTTTATCTCCAGAAAGTTTAAATGAAATCTTCTCGACCTTCTTAATGAATCCGACGTCTTGTTTGGAAATCTTCTCTCTCTTGATCTTCAGCGCCGCCACGTTTGGAATGATCCTGAAACAGAGACAGAAACAAAACTGAGTCATTAAAGATAAAAGAAGTACAAATTCAAAAGAACATTAGCTAAAAGCTAAAAGGAGCAGAATGCTAGCTAAARGATAWATATCACCAGCTAAAAGAAAAGGCTAATAGCTAAAAACAAAAAGACAAAAATACATTAAAGTAACAAGTAACACAGGGGTAGCTAAAAATAAATGTAGCAAGTAGCTAGAAGCTGAAAGTTAAAAAGAAACCTAGCTAAAAGTAACATGACGTTAGTAAAAGCAGCAAAAAAGTAGCTAAAAGTATCAAAAGGCTAACTTAAAACCAAATATAATAATTGGTTAGCTAAAAGGTTGAAGCAAAAAAAGCTTGTAGCAGAAGGTTAGCTAAAAAAATAATGCAGCAATAGGTTAGCTAAAAGGCAGCAGTAGCAATAAACTAGCTAAATGGTAGCTAGAAGCCTAAAACAGTAAAAGTCTAGTTAAAACTTCCAAAACAATAACTAAAAGCAGCAAAATACCAACCTAAAGTAAAAGAATGGTTAGCTAAAAGTATAAACAGAGTAGTTAAACGTATAAACAAGGTAGCTAAATGTAACAAAAGGCTAACTAAAAGTATAAATAGGGTAGCTAATAATAACCAAAGGCTAACTAAAAGTATAAAAAGGGTAGCTAATAATAACCAAAGGCTAACTAAAAGTATAAAAAGGGTAGCTAATAATAACCAAAGGCTAACTAAAAGCTACCAGAAGACGATAAGAATAAAAGTAGTAGCTGAAGCTCATTCTAATGTTCTAATGTAAGGTTTGGGATGATCCTGAAACAAACGTCCACAGTGAGAGCCGTGCCGCCGCAGCTCTGCGCTGCTGCAGGCGGCGGTCGTACCTGATGCCGCGGAGCTTGGCGCGGTTGTCGTGGCGATCGATGATGTTGTGGAGRATCTCCAGCACCAGCTGCCTCAGCTCGCTGTCCTCCATCAGAGAGATGGAGAAGAGCGGCTCCAGGAAGGACGGGGGCAGCGCCGCCGTCATGGACTTGGACTTGAACCCGGAGGTCACCTGAGAAAGAGAGGACAGAGAGGTGGTGAAGAGGGGGCGGGGCTAAGGATGAGACAGAGGGGGCGGGGCTAAGGATGAGACAGGGGGGTGGGGCTGAGGAGGTTTCAGACTCTGTTCAGGTTCTGATTTCAGTGAAACAGGATAAACGCTGAAGGGCAGAACTCTGGGTTTTCACGTCCAGAACCTCTTGGCTGGCCCCGCCTCCCTGCTCGTGTTTTGGCGTGGAACACCGTTGTGGCGTCACGCCTCACAGCTGAAGCAGCGTTAACCTTCACACACTCCTACGCCTTTGTCCCGACACACTGCRGCGCCGCCACAGTCTGCTGGCTGACCGAATCTTAGCTCCGCCCACCACCTGCTGCGATGTAAACACACTGAGCTTTGACCCCTCCCCCCAGCTGCAGCGAGGAGCAGGTGAATGAGTGAAGAGGAGGACGAACAGGAAGTCATCTGAGATAAGTGGACCAATCAGACGAGCCAAACATCTGGACTCACCATGATCAGGGAGCTGAGCAGCATGGTCTGGATCCTCTTGGTTCCCTGATGCCTAAAAAAATGAAATAAATAAAATTCTGTCAACAGAACCAGGAAGTCAGTTTCTCTTCTGTTCAAACAACTGAAAACAACAAGTTCTGTTTTTATCCTGTTGTTTATTTTTATTATTTTCAGAAGCTCCACACATTTTTTCATCAAATGTTTTAATTTAAATTAAACATTTCTGTATAAAACAGTGTCTCAGGCTGCAGAGAAGAATCTGCCTTCAGATATAAGAGGAGTGAAAGTCTGAGAGGAGGAGGAGGTGGAGGAGGACGGTGTTCCTTTGATTTGGGATTATCCGTCCGTGTCCTCCTGAGGGACGAGCTGAAGGTTTTCATCTCGGTGAAGGAGGAGCTGAAGCTCAGCGGGACGTTCAGGAGAAACACGTTTCATGTGTTTAGTTTTTTATTCTGCAGCTAAAATCTTACAGAAACGAAGCAACGATGAGGAAATGAAACTTTTAAATGAGGGCTGGAGTCGAATCTTTGGTCTTATTTTAGCCTTCCTTCATCTGGGTTCTGATAACAGACCTGTTTGGACTCAGCTGGGGGTTTCAGAACCGGCGGTCTGGAATAAACRGGTTTATGACTCACCCGATCTTAACGGTGTCCAAGCTGTGGCAGGGGGTCCCGAACACGGGAACTTTGCCCATGATGAACATCATGACTTCGGCTCGTTGATAATCCGGCAGATTTCCACCGAAAAACCCTGCAGAGACGAGCCGAAATGAATTATTTTTATCCTTTTTATTTTTATTAGAGTTTTAAAGCTGAAATCAGATCTGTTGAAATTATGAGCCGTCTAAAAAAAGATAGTTTAGTTTTAATGAGGAAAAACAGACAAATGAGCTAAAACTGAGTTATTAAAGCTAACAGCACAACTTAAAAGAACATTAGCTAAAAGCTAAAAGTAGCAAAATGCTAGCTAAAAATAAAGAGGATCACCAGCTAAAAGAAAAGTCAACATTCAGACTGCTGAGTCAGCGTTCAGACTGCTGAGTCAGCGTTCAGACCTCTGAGTCAACATTCAGACTGCTGAGTCAGCGTTCAGACAGCCATGTCAGCGTTGAGACTGCTGAGTCAACGTTCAGACAGCCGTGTCAGCGTTAAGACTGCTGAGTCAACGTTCAGACAGCCGTGTCAGACTTCTGAGTCAATGTTCAGACAGCCGTGTCAGCGTTAAGACTGCTGAGTCAGCGTTCAGACTGCCATGTCAGCGTTAAGACTGCTGAGTCAGCGTTCAGACTGCCATGTCAGCGTTAAGACTGCTGAGTCAGCATTCAGACAGCCATGTCAGCGTTCAGACTGCTGAGTCAACGTTCAGACAGCCGTGTCAGCGTTAAGACTGCTGAGTCAACGTTCAGACAGCCGTGTCAGCGTTAAGACTGCTGAGTCAA